GTAAATGATGTCTTTAAAGAAATTGGTTCATTTTTTTGCTCATCAAATTTATTTGCTTAAATTGCTTGTGAAAGTCTCTTATTATTCGTTTTAAGTAATAAATCTCTGCTTTTGAAACATTCCACAAATTTTTATTTTATTTTCATTGAGTTAAAAAGATTTCTAATTTCCCTTCTGATTTCTTCTTTAAACCAGGATAATCCATGGGTTTAAAGTGTGTTGGTTAATTTCTGAATGTTAAGAAGTTTCCAAACTTCCTTTGTCCTTCATTCTCACTGTTTACTCTCAGAATTTTATTTTAAGTTCTTGAATTTATAGATTTCAAAACACAGCACAACTATTATTTCCAAAAAATTACAGCACACCAACAATAAGAAAAAAGAAAAGCCAAACAAACACGTTTTTCAAAAGTTGTGCAATACAGGGTAATGATAAACTGATGATTTTCCTAAATCTCAGAGTGACGAAGGTACAGCCCAAGCACGCTGTAGCCCATACTGCCTTTGGACTCAGTCTGTGACATCAGCCCCGCCCTGGTGTCCAGCTTGCTCACCCAGCAGGCACATTTTGGAATTGCAGCCCCGCAATCACGTGAGCCAAGTTTTAAATGCATTTTTATCTATATATGCACGCATGTATTGGGGCTCTGCTTCTCTGACGCACAGTGTCTAATACAGGACTGTTACAGGCACTAACAATAACTGCTAAACCCTTGCGGTTTTCAAGGAATTTCTAAGGCAGGTGGTGGCTGTGCGATCACGTGACACCCACTGGCCAGGAAAGCACGTGAGCAGAAGAAACTCTCCTTGCCCGGGGGGAAAGGTGGAGGGTGAGATGAACCATCCCTGAGGAAGGAGCGTTTCAGCAGAGATGCAGGGGTAAGACCAGAGGTTAGGGCAGGTCGCTGCGGTGGAATGTGCTAGATGAGGGAAGAACAAGGGATCAAAAGTCCTGGCATGGAAAGGACAGATTTGAGACCAGGGTGGCCGGGACAAGGACAGCTACATCCTGTGCCTTCTATCCGGGGGCTCCCTCCCTCCACCTGCTCCACCTGC